AAAAGATTTATTAGGACATTATAATACATAAAACACTAAACTACTGGACAAGGCACTCTTTCAAGTGTGAGTCCAGTGTACAATTACATAGCTTCCCCACAAAACCTCATTACCAACTGCTATTTAAATCCTGGAGTGTGAGTGCTATATTCATACAACACACACTTCGGCTTATTGTAGACTTTATAAATGCACCTCTGCCTCTTCTGGCAAGACAGATATTTCATCAGAAAACTTACAAATGGGGTATTGTGCACATCGGATAGTCTCATATCTGGCTAACTACCACAGATCCAGAGACAGGGCAACCCCACATATGCAGACAGAAAATTCCAGGAAAGGCCCTGCTCTCAAGACAAAATCTGACAGCCTACCATGGTGACAACTGTTCCAAGATGAAGAAGAGGCTAAAAGAAATTGAACCTAAAGTCTTCATCAGGAGTATCAACAGTAGCCTTGGCTCTCCCTCCTAGACGGGGCCTGCAGACCCTTCGGCTCTTCTTTCTGGCAGACTCACCTACAGGCTGTACCTGGGCTGAATTGGCAGCTGTCAGTAGAAGGGGGAGCAGAATCAGAACTAAAAAATAACAGCTAACATTACCCATGTAGTTAAGATGGTACACACAGCTCTAACCTCTTTGTACAATTTAAAATCAACTACTCAAAATTCTAAGTTAATATTATCACCACTACCCCTCAGTTAGAGCTAGAGATACTGAATAACTTGCCAGAAATGTTAGGATCTAATGTTAACATCTAGGATTTGAACCCAGGTTGTTTGGCTTCGGGAGTTACACTCAAACTGCTATGGGATCTGGCCTCCTGCATAGCACAGAAAGCCAGGCAAAGATTGGTGAGACAGCTTTCCCCATCCTAGAAACAGAATCAGAAGACCAGCTCCTTCCACCCCTGCTCTCATCCTAGGACCTTTACCCCAAGAGGTACTCTACAGACTTTCTGCCTGCTCATGCTTCCCTGAGCCCATCTCCTTCCCCAACAAGGCATGCTGCCGTGGGCCTCTTCCTTCCACTTCCTAGGCACTTTCTCCTTACTCCCTTAAATCAGATGTACAGAACCAATCACTTCCCAAATAACTACTCACCTGCCCTGAGACCTCGCAGAGCCTCTTGCCACTCAGCCTCCATCTGAGCCCTGTAGTTCCCAAACAAGGAGTGCATTAGCTGCCTCTTCCGGGGAAGGGGAGTTCTTTGACTGTTAAGGGCTCGAATCGCTCCAATAGCCTGCTCTTCTGCAGATAAAAATAAAGGCCTAGTGACCTCAAGTACATTGACCTATCATCCTACAGCAAAAGCAACAATCCTATCCCTTAGCGGCACCTACAGGCCACAGCACTATCACCGTTCACATTACCCCAAATACACACAAGGGCCCCTCACTCTGTTTTGGGGTGGGTTTCTGCATCTTGAGGCCAAGCTCCAACTTCTCCACGCACCAGGCCAGTTCTCGGGACAGCTGCTCAGCCTGTGATGGGTCAGGGGAGGTGGCTATGAGTTCAGGACACTGAGACCCAACATCCCCCTCCTCACTCCTCTCACCGAAAGGCACCGGGGGATCCCACCCTTGTCTGGGCCTCGGCGCTTAGTGGGGCTTCCTCTGGGGCGGGCCTCTCCGGAGCCTTCTCGCCTCCATTAGATACTGAAGTCCTGTTCTGGGCTTTCTTCTTCTGTTTTCTCGAGACTGCGTTGCCTTCACTGCCTACGGGGTGAGCTCTGGAGGCGTCGTCAGTGCACTCGCGTTGTTCTGAGCAGGAAGAGACAGAGGAAGGATACAAGGCTCCGGGAACCGGGCCCGGACGCCGGGATTTGCGGCGCGCGCGGGAACTAGCCGGGCGTGGGGCTGCTGGAGCCTTCGGAAGAGGACGTCCTAAAGCCTGCGGAATAGCGTGGGATAGAGGGATAGCGTGAAGGTCACAGGATACGGCTGAAGGCCTCAGGTCCCGCAACCAGCACAATGCCCCCATAGCTCACCGCCATGAGCCTCAGCGGCTGCCGGAAGTCACGTAGAGCCTTGAGTCCTACCAAGAATTTCTTCCCCCGGACTCTCTTCCGCTTTACCTCAGGAGTCGCCTAGGAACTCGCGGCGCGGCCGGGGGCTGAGGGGCTCCGGAAAGTACTAAAGAAGACAGTGGCTACCCCACCCCATACCGTTTTTGGAGGAAGGACAAAACTAAAAAATGGGGTTACCTCGCAAAGCTCATCTTTCAATGGGGAGAAAAAAGCACGTAAACAAAAAGCTGTCTCCTGGAGGGCCACGTAGACAGCTGCGGTATGATGATCAGCAAAGATTTCCCCCCACCCCCCACCAGCAAGAGCTGTTGGGTGGAGACCAGGGAGGGGAGTGGCCTGACTGGCGCGTGGGCGTGGTCGAGCCACAGGTGAGAATGGGAAGGACCGAGTCTTTCAGAACCATATAGACCAGTTTAGGCTTTACTTCCTTTTTACTCGCCATAGGAAGTCATTATGAATCGCAAGAGTTAATGACCTTAGTTAGCTATGTTTTTTAAAAAATTGCTCTTTAGAGGCTGGGGATTTAGCTCAGTGCTTCTACCGCCTGCCTCGCAAGTGCAAGGCCCTGACTTAGATCCCCGGTACCAAAAAGAAAAGAAAATCGATCTCTGTTGTGTATGAATAGCGCGGGTGCAGTAGAGAAACAGGCAAAGGTTTCAGCATGTTTGCTCTTGCTGGTGGACTGGTTGTGGCCATGAGGGAAGCTGGGGAGTGGGAGCAGGAGGAAGCCCCAACCCACAGACGCTGATGCCCCCTCTTTGTGGGAGCCTCACAACAGAGAGAAAATATGTAAAGACTGAGGCGAGACAGGCTTCAGGAGGACCAGGGGTAAGGCCAAGCAAGTGAAGGGTGTGGGATGTCACTTGAGACAAGAATCTGAGATGTCTAGGATTCCTGCCAAGGAAATACTAAAGGCATAGAAAATGTTTCCTGAATAAGTAAAATGTTGGCTACTCGGTCTTTGAGGTTTCAGGGCAGAAATCTGGTCATCACAGAAAGCCGGGGTAATACATTAGTTATTTATTGCAGTATAGCAGGATCACGAATCTAGCAACAGCATAGCTGGTGGTTCTAGCTCAATGTCTCTCATGAGGGTGCTTCTTCAACTTTTAAGGGATAAATCTCGAAAAATTTTAGACATTTGAAGGCCACCACACTTGGTTGTATATTCTAGTCCTAGGAGATAAGAGGTTGGGGGATAAGTGAAGTCCATATCCAAGGGGCTTTTCCCTGCCTCCTTTGACTGAATCACCCTATGACTTGGCCCAGAAACACCTTCCTCTTTCCCAGCCCCTACGAACCCACCAGGTACTTCCATTTATCTCCTAAGTAATCTCCACCTCCTTCTCTGGCCCAAACAACTGCAACTGATTCTTCCTCAACTAGGCGTCCAGTTCCATTCCCTCCTCTTTTCTGAACCACGCTGATTCTAGAATGATCTAAAATAAAAACTAACCATGTAACCCTCCTGCCTGAGTCTTCTATTTCTTCCAGGATAAAGTCCAAGATCCTTACCCTCACTGTTCAGCCAACACATGCCCTACAAATCTTGCATAGGCAACTATTTGCAGACCTTGCTTTGTTCTGCCTACACTGGTCATACAGCCCTTCAACCTCAACTCACCTCCCTTTATTTTTTTAATTTTATTTTTATTTTTATCTTTTTGGTTTTTTGAGACAGAGTCTCACTATGTAGTTCAGGCTGGTCTCGAACTCACAGCAATTCTCCTGACTCAGCCTCCTGAGTGCTGGGATTACAGGCATGCACCACCATACCCGGCTCACCAATCCCTTTACCTCTCACTGTCCTCTACACGTCCAAAACCATGCCAGCAATCATTCTTTCATATTTTCTCATTATCACTGTGGCTACTTCCCAGGCCTTGAAACACAGTGGTCTCCACTAAAACAATCCTTCCTGGGCTCCTTTCTCTGGCCTCAACAAGAAATATTTTAAAATTTTCATTCATGCAAATATAAATATACACAGTTGATTTGTTTTTTTATTACAGGAGATTGAATACAGAGCCTCGCACATACTAAGCAAGTATTCTACCACTGAGCTCTATCTCCAGCCCCTTTTATTTTGAGACAACATCTCACTAAATTGTGTATGCTGGCCCCAAATTTGCAATCCTCCTACCTCAGCTAAGTAATGCACCATAACCCAGTTTATAGTCAATTTTTTTGTTTGTTTGTTTTGTTACTGGGGATCGAACTTGGGTCCTTGTGCTTGCGAAGCAGGCGGCAGAACCACTGAGCTAATTCCCCGGCCCCAGCTTATAGTTGATTCTTGATTTTGAAGCAGTTGTATTCTACAAAGTTATTGCAATCACTGAATTAATGAATAATGAACTATTGCTACTTGGAGAAATACAGAGTTAAATTCCTAGGAACCTCTCATCATAATTTTGTGTATGTTTCTATTTAAGGGCACCTTATTTTATGAATGTTAATTCATTAACATTGAACTCATGCCCATTAGTACTATAACTCTTATCTGAATGAAGCTGATCTTACACATTTGCTCTATAAGGCACATCATAGTCTTCTTGCGTTTAGCAAAACTAAACAGTACCTAAACACAAACTGCCAAGAAAAACTACAGAAATGCAAATAATATCACTAAATATACTATGAAAAGTGTCCTTGTTTACACCATGGGAATAGAAAACTTGTTCAAGCTGACAACATTCACATCAGGCAGATTTTTCACTGTTCTGTGCTTGTCTATAAATAGCCACAAAAGCCATGAAATGCCCTCAGTTTTAATTTGGGAGTTACAAATAAATTCTAGGGAGTAGGCAAATTTGCAAATACAGAATTCACAAATCTGTGTGACATATTTTGAGCTTATTCCAATTTTTGTGTCAGACTCAGACAGCTAGAGTTCAATTCCCAGCTCCAATTCCGACTGGTTTGTTAACTCTGGGAAAGTGATGTAGCCTCTCTGTGCCTTAAACATGAAAATGGGAATAGTAACAGAATCTATCACATAGACTTGTTAGACTAAATCATATTATGCAGGAAGAGCTTATTAGGTGGTAGTAATTATTATTACCACCATTCTCTTCAGTAGTAGACAAACATTACCTCACTTGTGACATTTTTAATGACTGCCTCACTCATGCAGATGTATCTCCTACTCTATCCCCACAATGAGTTAAGAGTGCCTCTTACCTGCCTGTACAACTTTGTTTCATATTTGGTTGTTGCAAACATGTTTCCTCTTGTCCACTAGACAGAAGATCTTACTCATTTTTGTCTTTCCATTGTTAGTAAAATATATAGCACATAGCAAATACTAAAAAAAAAAGTGTGTTGAATGAGTATACAAATGAATAACAGATTCAATGAATTTGAGGTAAGAAAGCTTTGTCATAGAATGCCAATTAGGAGGCCCCTGCAATTAACCAGGAAAAGAATTAGAACATGGCTAAGGTACTGGTAGCAAAATGGATTTATTCACCTGAAATTTTTGGAACACAACTATAACTAAAAGAGGCAATTTCTCCCATTATAATAATGCTATCAGTGACAACAACAAATATATTCATTCAGTTCACCTTAGAGCCAGAAACTTGTGTGAGCTCTGCACAAGGCAACTCACTTAACCTTCAGAGCATCCCTGGATGCTTATAGCTTACTGTCATGGACACCAAATAGGAAATTCTAAGTGAGGTTGTCAGAGGTGAAATATAAACATTTAAGCAACTATTCTAGAATAATCTAGTTTGGGACTCTCAGTGAAGGCTAGGAAAATTAAATTTAAACTGAAACATTAAGAGTGGCAGTTGGTCTGTTGTGGAAGGAATTAGTAAGTGACACACACAGAAAGATGTAGAATGGAAGTAAAATAACAAAAGGTTTATTTTGTCAGCAAAAGGCCAATTGCACTAAAAGTAGTGCGAGTGATTGACACCCCCCAGCACAAACACACACCACACACACACACACACACACACACTGGGTTACAGTTCCTTCTTTTAGGGTTTTACAGTCATGATCTCATTCAGGTGGTTACATTTCATTCTTTCAGTTCACATTACTGACTTACAAATCAGGGTCACAAACCCAGATGTAACAATTCTTTGTGGTTAGGAAGTTTAACTTTAAGATTCATCTGGCTATCGCTTCTCGGCCTTTTGGCTAAGATCAAGTGAAGATTCATCTAGCTATACTAGCCTGCAGGAAGGGGGTGTTCAAGATCAGGAAAGCAAATTTTAAACAATTTTTTTTTCATCTTTACACTTTTACAATCATGTGGCTCACAAAACTTTGGAGCTCGTGGTCTTGATGTGCCCTGTTATCTCAGGAAGAGGCCAGATGTGCCATTCTATGGTTAATGCCTCTGGTGTCTATTAATTTTGAACTAAACAAAGCAGATTTCAGTTAGAAGAGCAGAAGTCATTCTATATTTTCCTAACATTTTGTAGGTTTTTGGTTATTTACCAAAGTTCTATAAGGTCAGGTAAAAGCTTTGGGAAGACTACTCCAGGCCAAAGGAGCAGTTCATGGCAATGACTGAAGAAGGGACATGCTGTAGGCTTGATAATGTTAAGCAAGGCCAGCGTGGCCAGGAGTGCCGGGTGGAAGTGGCTTGAAATTAGGCTGTCCAAGAGGCCAGGTAATGCACCTGGAGAGCATTAGCAAGGATCTGTTTGTTGAGGAAGCAGCAGATGTCAATGGCCATACCACCATGAACATGCCCGATCTTGTCTGAGGAAGAAACAGAGGGCCTGAGTCCTGATCACAGTGTAGGAAACAAATCAAAGATAGTCAAGAATTCATGTTGATAGAAGTTTCATTCATTAGCCCATTGAAGAAATAAGGGTTATGTGGATAAGGAGGGAGCACTGAGGATAAAAGGTGGAGGTGGGATAAAGAAGCAAGCACTTAGATGGTGACATCAGCAGGTCTTACGGTTGGTGTCACGTAGCAGAAATGACTATGAGGAAGGACCCAAAAATGATGTTCAGTGTATATATAGTGCCTGTGACTAAGGTCAAAAATAGGAACCAGAAGAGCCTGGTATATGGGGGACTTGATGGGAGATATGCATTCACTTTGGATACTTGGGGTGTGGCAACTTTGGGAATCCTTGGTGGAAATTTCCTCCAGCACAAAGATAGACAAGAGGTGTCAGGTGAAGTTACGAAAGAAAAGAGATT